GGATGTAATGGCGACGACAATGGCAGAGTTGGGACGGACGACTTTGGTTAATTTCGAGATCGAGGAGATCAAAGGAAGTAACCCGGTCAGATGTAGACCAATTCGGTTAGCGTTGGCCGAGAGAGAAGCCGCGCAGGCTATCATTGATCAATTGATGGAAGCAGATATGATCGAGAAGTCGAATTCTCAATATGCGAGTCCGGTGCTGCTGGTTAGGAAGAGCGACGGTAGTTGGAGGCTGGTGATTGACTACAGACGTCTTAACGCGCAGACGGTTAAATTAAACTACCCGTTACCGTTAATCGACGACATTTTGGACGCTTGTGCGCAGAAAACGATTTTCTCCACGTTCGATCTGGCTTGGGGATATTTTCAGATTCCCATGTCCAAGGAGGCGTCCGAAAGGGCAGCGTTCGTCACTCCAGCGGGGCATTATCAGCCGAAGGTGATGATGACGGGATTATGTAATGCTCCCAGCAAGTTCCAGGAGCTGATGGTTGAGGTTAAGGACATGATTGGGAAGGAACAGGCGTTTCCGTATTTGGACGACTTGATCGCTGTGGCGACAGATGAGGATGAACACATGGAGAGGATTCGGAGAATATTCATGGCATTGAGGGAGTCAGGGCTGACGATCCGATTGATGTAAATTCTCTCATGGAGGAAGTCGAGTTCTTGGGATTTAGACTCTCGAAAGACGGAATACAGCCGGGAACGAAAAAGACAGCGGCTGTGGCTGAGTTTCCGAAACCAAAGAACGTTCATGAGGTCAGAAGATTTCTCGGGCTGACGTCGTTCTTCAGGCGTTTCATCGCCAGCTACGCGACGATTGCGAGTCCGTTGACCAGGCTGTTGAAGAAAGATGCGGAGTTCAGATGGTCGGAGGCTTGTGACGAGGCGTTTGAGAGGTTGAAGGCGGAACTGGTGAGGGAACCGATTCTCGAGAGATTCGTTCCGGGAAGACCGACCGAACTTCACACGGACGCGAGCTGCTCTGGGTTAGGAGCAATGTTGCTGCAGAGAGACGGGGAAGGCAGATTGAAGATGGTTTACGCGATTAGCAGGAAGTTGGACGACGCGGAAGAAAAATACCACTCTACAAAACTGGAACAGTTGGTGGTGGTATGGGCGCTGGATCGCTTGAGACATTACTTGGTCGGAGAAAAATTCAAAGTCGTGTCGGATTGTAATGCTGTGGCAGCATTGACGTCGGAGACTGGGATACCATCGCCACAGATGAGAAGGTGGATGGAGCGGGTTGCCGAGTTCACGTTTGTGGTGGAACACCGAGCTGGAACATCGATGCAGCATGTTGATGCTTTGAGTCGAGGTCCGTTCGAGGAGGCAGAGCCGTTTCCGGACATGGATGTACCAACAGAGTTGTTGGAAAAGAAGGTGTTGACGGTGGTGTTGGGAGAGCGAGAGGGGCTGACGTTGCAGGCGTCAGATAGATGGATCACGGACCGATTGAAAATTTTCGCCAAGGCGAAAGAGGAGCGATCAGCTAGGGAAAAGGGAATGATTCAGGAATTCAAGGAGAAGAATGGAATACTCTACAGAGTTAAGAAAGTCGCAGAAATGGTTCCGGAGTTCGGAATCGGGGAGCGGGAAAACTACGCGGCAAAGGGAGGAGCTGAAGCTCGTGGTGCCGGCGTTATCTCGGAAATATATCTTGGTGTTGGTTCACGACAAAGCGGGACACTTCGGAGTGGATAAGACGTTGGAGCTGATGAGACGGTTCTATTGGTTCAAGGGTATGAGGAAATACACGGAGTCGCACATCCGAGCTTGTTTGGACTGCTTGTATA